GAGGGAGTGGCTATTCATCATAATGGTGAACAAATTAATATTAAAATCGTTTTAGCTCAGCTATCAGGGGACAATTTAGGATTGCACACTATTCTCGGCTTCTCAGAGGGATTTAATGCAAACTATCCTTGTCGCAGATGTAAAATGCAGAAAAGAGAGTGTCAAACTAAGTGTATCGAAGAAAAAGTGCAGCTTCGTTCAGAAGTTAATTACCAGCAGGATGTTGAAATTAATAATTTACGCGAGACAGGAATTAGTTTTCGGTCAATTTTTAATGACTTGCCATATTTTCATGTCACAAAAAATTACGTGTTTGATATTATGTATGATTTGTTTGAGGGAGTTGGTCCAGATCTTTTTCATGCATTAATTAGTAGTTTAGTTTCGGAAAAATTAATTACTATTAATAAATTAAATTATCGTTTAGAATCATTTGATTTTGGTCGACATTATTGTGGAAGCCGACCCTCCCAAATTAAGCAGTCCTTTTTGAAAGGTGACACGAAGTCGGGTCAGAATGCTTCCGAAAATATTTGTTTACTATTATTTCTGCCAATCATTTTAGGTGATTTAATTGATCAAAAACATAAAGTGTGGTCACTTTATATTTTGCTAAATGAAATAGCTAGAATTCTGCTTTCGAATGAGATCAGTAAAAGTGGCTTAATTTACTTGGATTCGCTGATTTCAGAATTTTTGAATTCCTACACAGGTTTGATTAGAAAACCCTTAAAACCTAAGCACCACCACATGATTCATTATAGTTCAGCAATTAGGCAGATAGGTCCACTTCGACAGTTTTGGAGCATGGCGTTCGAAGCTAGGCACAAATTTTTTAAACCAACGGCTCATGTGATTGGAAATTTTAGAAACATTTCCAAGTCGTTGGCCTATCGTTTTCAACTCGCTCGATGTTTTAAATTACTAGCAGTAGATAAATTCACCCCACACACATTTGAATGCTCCGATACGGAAGATAATTTTTTGTCTGATATGGATTGTGGTGGTATGATTGCAAGTTATCTTTGCAAAGAAATTTCCGAAAAAGTGTCTGTCTCATATAAAATAATTAAAAATGGTTCCATCTTTGAGGTGGGTGGATTTGTCTTGGTGGAACGTTGTACTCAATATCCCATTTTCGGTTTAATTAAATCAATTATTAATGAGGAAGACGAATGTTATTTCGTGTTGCAACATTTTAGTTCAGAACATGTGGAGCATTTTTGTGGTTATAAGCTAATTGATTCGGGTAATTTAGCTATATTAGATTGTAATGACGTTAAGTACTTTCAGTGTTTTTATCCGTCAATTTCATTCTGTAATGATTTAGAAAGGTATATCATACTACCCGTAAAATTTGTATAGTTATGTAAGTTAAATTTTAAGATTATTGAAACTGTTTATGTATATATTGTTTGTATAGAGTATTTAACGACAAATAAACCAATAAATGTATGAGCTAATTTGGTTTTGTTTTTTATTGAAAATAGGACTCTCAGTCATCCGGTTTTAGTGGTGCATTGCTAGGTGAACAGGAAATGAGAGAACGAGGATTGAGAGTTTCGCCAGGTCTTTTCCGGAAATCATTCACCCCAAAGGTTGGCCCCCATTGTTCCAATGTCTGCGAAATCTTACCAGAAACAGCTTTGGTGCAGATGAATCATCAGGTAAATTGCGGAACAACGCATCTAAAATACATTATGCGTTTATTATATAAACATTCCGTAATTTGTATCAAAGGGAAGTGTACAAATTCTCGGAAGTCCACCTGGTCCAAATTCCAAGAGCGTGGAGTTTGAGCTTGACCTTTTGTCGCCAGGAAATTCTCAAGTGCTTCATACATTTGCAGAAAATCGGCAGGCTAACACTCGCGAGATTCTTCATGGTGATTGTTCTTCGACATCAATAAAGTATTATAGTTTTGTAAGTTATCAGGCCAAGTGTGTATAATATAATGTGCCAATTATTAATTAATAGTTACTGTTTATTACCAACAATTAAATATTATTCTTGAAACTGAATTTGGAATCAATCTTGCTAGAAAGCGAGGCCGCACGAAGGGTTATCCTGGATAAAGTTCCTGCCAACATGTTCATAATTCGTGAAGATCGCCAAGCTATTTGTAATGCGCTCGTGGACGCATTAATTAAAAACTTAGGTAGAAGGTAAACATAATGAAAATCAAATTAAATTATTTTGCATTGTCATGCTTTGGGATTTCGAATTAATATCCTTAGTCTCATCACTACTTGTTTTTTAGCCCAAGTAAGCAGGCAATGGAGCAGCTGGCCCTTGATTTGGTAAACAAATATCCACTTCTTGGAGATCCTCGTAGGAAGAATTTGGGGGCTGAAATGTGGTATTTTAATTCTGCACATTCGAGCGGACCTATGGGATTCTTGGAAGAAAGAATTAAAAACCAACGAAAAAAACTGACCAAGAAGAAGGCAATCGAAAACAAGGTCGAGGATGACATTAGCTCGCTATCATGGGATTCTGAACTTGAAGAGGGTAGGTGTTTCTTTATCTTACATCTCATTAAATCAGTTCGCTCATTAATTTATTGTCTACGTTTATACAGAAAATCCCGAACCTGATGAAAAAATGCTGGAATTTTTAAGACAGAATAGAGGTGCAGATATTGTTGACACAATGAAATCCACCGTGTTTATGCGCCGAACAGTTATTCGAGATGAGATGAAAGACAACCTCGCTGGTTTTCGTCGAATACCTGGAATTATTCCTCGTTTGTTTGATGTTGAAGGAATGGTAAGAACCCTTCATTGGTTTAAGAAAAATGAAGACAATAAATAAACACAAAAAACTTCTTTATGAATTGCACGAGCAATTAAATTTAATGTGGTTAAATGGTTTTCTATTCATTTTTTCCAGATCGTTCAAGATTTTAATCTGCGACACCCTCAGCTCAACCTAATCGTTTATGAGCGATGGCCGGCTTCAAAACTTTTAATTAGATACGCCGAAGAAAGCTCAATCGATTATAAGAAAACCCTGGGACTTCATAAGCCAAAATCAGATTTGTCTGAGGGTAAAGAAAACATAATTATTTTGACTACTGACGCTATCAATGTGCGATCCTAATTAACCCTTTATTGATGGCTAATATGTCTTGACAGATGACATCTCATTGTTGGCTTATTCACTTCTTCCGTATTTGCTGCCTTCCTGCGCACGCAAGATTTCAACTGGCTTAAACTCCGTTAAAGAAGGAACAAGTGGGCAAAATAAAGGAGCAACGCGGGCGAGGTTGCAACTTCCGGGTGTTACAGGAAGCAGATTAGGCATTGCAGGCAGTTCTTCGGATGAAGAAAATGAGCAACGCCCAGTGGCTCAAAAACCTCGTAGGGCTCGGACTGTCAAAGCATCAAACTCTGATGCTCGAGATAGCTTGATTCTATTCCGATCGGTGAGAATTTTATACAAAATTCTGCGAAGTGTTGTATTATATGTTTACCGAATATTTTGTCCATATTTTTTTAATATCTTTTGTTTTGATACTTTGTTCAGAAAAATACCCACGTCGCGGATATTTTGAGTGAAAATAGGAATGCTGCACCATTCATTTTGGCCCTAGGATCGACCTATGATTTGAGAATTGAATCTTTCTTTGTAATTTTGGACAAATTCGCCATCCCATGTGGATCAAGTTTTCTCCTGGCGCTGGATACTTGCCTAAAATCTTTCACAGTATTTTATTTACCACCCCCAGTGGAATCGAAAAATGTTTGGCAGTTTCTCCAGCACGGAATTACAGGAAAACCTTGCGAGAATTTCACACTGACTCCTGTTGTTCAAGCGCTAATTGGCCAGATAATTCCTCGGCTTAATTGAATTAAATTTATCAAATTATGATTATTATAAATTGTCAATTAATATGTAATGTCACTATGTAATTTATGTGTTTTGAGAGTATTTAAACGTTATTATAAATCAAATATAAATTCATCAATAATTTAAAAATATTTATTTATTTGCATTTGGCGCATCTGGTATTGTAACCCATAAAAAAGTAACAGTAACCCGGCCCGCGTTAAAACGCTGCAGAGTTTCTGAGTAAAGGTTACCCATAATAGGGTAAAACAGAATAACCCGTTTTTGGGTTGATAGCCAACTCAACGTGAAGTAAAGTTGGTTACCCCTTTGCACTTTTGGGCTCGCTAACCCTGTACAGCGTCGTCGCCCTTTTTACCACTCTACGGATTGACTTTTACTCGGTATGGGTTTATTTGTTTTAAGTGTGTAACTTTTTAACAAGTTACTTTATTTAAAAAAACAATATATTTTGACCATACCTGTTCACTTTCCATATTTATATTTTAAGTCTCAAACGGTCATATTTTCAGTTTGGATTAAAAATTAAAAATTGTGAAATCTTTTGCAAAATGCATTTTCAATAAAGGACTTGTATTGAAATATATATTTTAAAATTTAATATTATTTTAAGTTACCTAATATGTAAATTATGACCATACTTGTTCCAAAAAAAAAACTTTTTTCGTTCATTTTTAACTGATGATTTTTATTCAGATTCAATCATTATATTTCAAACTCATTTCATATCACTTCATCTGACTTCATTGCTTACTTCACTCGCTCCATGTATTAAGCATAGTATGAAAAATGAAAGGAGTGAGAAAATCCTTTCATTCACATCACTCATTTTCATTCAAAATTCATTTTCATTCAAAATTCATTTTCATTTTCATTCAAAATTCATTTTCATTCAAAATTCATTTTCATTTTCATTCAAAATTCATTTTCATTTTCATTCAAAATTCATTTTCATTTTCATTCAAAATTCATTTTCATTTTCATTCAAAATTCATTATCATTTTCATTCAAAATTCATTTTAATTCACCATCATAATCAGTCACATGAAGTAGATTGAACAGTTATGATTATGACAGATTTCATAATCGCTTTTTGACTAGAACTTGAGACGATTTACGGGGTGACGTGGACAAGTAGGTTGAAGTCCGTGCGCAATTTTTTCTTCTGATTTGTGAGAAAAAAACAGTAGCAGCCGCAGCAGATCGAATTTTTTGGTGAAAATTTTACGAAATCTTTTGGAAATTACTTGACCCTATCATAATTAATTTTAATTCCACACGGAAGGTGACAATACTTTTTTGAATCCTAACCACAGGTAAATATATGGTGAAATAAATTTGTACATTTTTTATTATTATTTCAGTTTTTTAAGTTGACTTGGGTCATTTGAAGTCAACCTTTTCAAAATCGTAGAATGGATTCCCGAATGGATGTCGATGTTGAAGAGAACATGTCCCTGTCGCCGGGCGAAGAACGTTCCGAAATTTTAAGCGGATCTTCCGTCGGTTCGCAAACGGAGATAAATCATCCGGCTCTCCTGAATCCACTGGTATAAAAAAATTAAGTATTATATAAACCGTCGCAAACGCGCATACGGAAGTAGCTTCAGACGTACTTCACCCCAAACGGTCCCACCACAACTCGGGAACACTTAATTTCACTCTATTTCACCTATAGATTAATTTTTTGTAAAAATCTCATTTTGCCCCGACCACACCCCCTGGCGACGAGGGGGTGTGGAACAACTCGGGAACACTTAATTTCACTCTATTTCATCTATAGATTAATTTTTTATAAAAATCTCATTTTGCCCCAACCACACCCCTGGCGCCTAGGGGGTGTGGCACAACTCCGGAACACATAATTTTACTCTATTTCACCTATAGATTAAATTGCACTAAAAATTTCATTTTGCCCTAACCACACCCGCTGGCGCCGAAGGGGTGCGGCAAAATCGGGGAAACACTCAATTTCACTTAATTTCACTTAATTTCATTTAATTTCACTCAATTTCACTTAATTTTACCCATAGAATAAATTGCACTAAAAATCTCATTTTGCCCCAACCACACCCCCTGGGGCCGAGGGGGTGTGGCACAATCGGGGAAGCACTTAATTTCACTTAATTTCATTTAATTTCACTCAATTTCACCTAATTTTACCCATAGATTAAATTGCACTAAAAATCTCATTTTGCCCCAACCACACCCCCTGGCGCCGAGGGGGTGTGGCACAACTCCGGAACACATAATTTTACTCTATTTCACCTATAGATTAAATTGCACTAAAAATCTCATTTTGCCCCAACCACACCCGCTGGCGCCGAAGGGGTGCGGCAAAATCGGGGAAACACTCAATTTCACTTAATTTCACTTAATTTCATTTAATTTCACTCAATTTCACCTAATTTTACCCATAGATTAAATTGCACTAAAAATCTCATTTTGCCCCAACCACACCCCCTGGCGCCGAGGGGGTGTGGCACAACTCCGGAACACATAATTTTACTCTATTTCACCTATAGATTAAATTGCACTAAAAATCTCATTTTGCCCCGACCACACCCCCTGTCGCCAAAGGGGGTGTGGTCCGGTTGCCCCCAAAAGTTGATAGGATCCTCCCCCTGGGGTCCTATGTATGATGGCGAAAACCGATTTCGATTATCTCGATCCGTTCTCCTGATATCCTGCTGACAGACAGACAGACAAAGTCTTCACATAAAGTAGCTGAAGCTACTTAATAATGTGTAATTAGGAATGATGAAAGTATGATGTGAAAATGGACCCTATTTTGAGCCCAATTCTTCCCAGGGTGTGGATTTTGAGGGGTGTGAAACCTACGAAAAGGAGAAAGTCTACGTGGACAAGGGAAGGGTTTTGTTTGTGAAGAAATTATATAAGTTTTGTGGTTGGAAAAATACTTTGTTTTCGTGATTTTTTAAAATATGTGTAGGGTTTTGAGAGTGGTAAAAAGTTAGGGTTTTCTTCATAAAATGTGTAACTTGGTACGACTGCTGGGGTAGATTCTTGGCTTTTTGTGGGTGTAACAGCCCTGGGAAGAGGGGAGATTTAAAATTTGGAATATTTTGAGCTTTGTTTTACACAGGGTTTGGATTTCCTTAAGGGCTGAAAAGATGAAAATCTACGCGGAGAAGGCAGTAGTCTTATGAAAATATGCATTTTTAACCTTTTTTTATAGCGAGTATCAAAATAAGAAGTATTTTAAGAACTTGAGTTGTGACGAGTCCATTTTTTTACAAAAAATGTGCATTTTCTTCATACGACTGTTCCCTTCTGGATGGAGATTCTCGTCTTTTTGTAGACGTCTAAAATACCCGAACAAATTCAGAGCTAAGGCAGTCATACGAGATTATAAATTTTGTGAAGAAATTAACTTTTTGTCGGTGGGAAAATACATCTTTTTCTTTGCGATTTTTTAAAAATACAGTATTTTGACAACAATTAACTGTCCAGTTCTTCACAAAAAAACCTGCATTTCCATATGTATATTTTCATTTTTTTTGTGGCTGTACCACTCCTGGAAATCCAATCCACCCCCTGTGAAGAACCGAGCTCAAAATAGGATACATTTTCCCAAGGAATTTTGAATACAAATATTTTGCTAAATTAATTTCCTTTAATCTTGACAGGTTCAATCCGCCATTTTCGGATTCTTGCCACCATCCGCGTTAAAAGCGTGTCGCCAAGTTTGTAAAGACTGGGAGAGGGAGGCCACGTTTCATCTCGGAAAATGTTCGAGACTCTCACTGAACAAATTTTGTGGGTCGGGACCCCTCCACAAATTGATGCCCATCTGCGACGACCGGTTCTGTGGACGGATCTACCTCGATTATGACCACGCTGAGGAAAAGGATCTCGCCAAATGGGACAGTATTGGACATAAGTTTGCGGTGTTCTTGATGGAAAAAGGCGTCCTCGTGGGGGACCTGAAGGTCGAGATGGACCCCTATTTTTTGCCGAAATTACGCTACCTTATCGTGGATTGCGGATTCTTTCCCAACCTGGAGGTATTTAATATTGTGGTGATAAGATGAGGACATTTTCTTACTCAATTTTGAACACGTGGTGGACATTTATTTAAAAATTGTGGATTGTAGTCGGTGGTGAGTTGATTAATGGAATGGTGGTGAGTTTTTGAAGCCGAGTTACAATTTTTTCTCAAACTTGTGATTTCCTCGGCCAAAAAGTGTCAACATTTTTAAAAATTTGGTAATGACCTGCTCTACAAGTTGCCAAAATTTGTAACACTAATTAAATTTCTCACGTGATCACGAATTTAATTAGGTTGAAATTTGCAAAGGACACGATTAGGCCGAGATATTTTGCATTCAAAAAGTGGAGAAATTTTACACTCTCAAAATTTACTGTTCGTTTTCTCCTCTCGGATGCAAATATCTCGGCCCTTGGGAATTTCATGCAATTTTCCCTCTGTTTGACCAGGTCCTGTCCCTTTACGAGCGCCACCCCGAAGGGCCCTTCACCCCTTTAATGCCGGAAGCCCTGGAAACTCCGGAGATAATGAGACATATTCGAAGGCTGGAGTTTTGTAGAGCCGAAGGGAGCATCGAAAACCCTGAAAACGCCGGAAATGCGTCTACATTTCATCCCTTCTTGGAAGAAATTATTGAAAAATCACCCAATTTGGAGGAGTTGAAGATTGAAGATAACTTCTATCCTGTTCTGACGACATGTAGCAAGTTGAAAATTGTGGATTTTAGTGGTTACCCGTACGGATTTGAGCTTATAGACAATGATGAGGATGATGATACCCATAGGTTCGGAAATATTTAATTTTTTGAATATCTTTTTTATCTAACAAACTTGTAGAGGGGGGAGATATGTATGTATTTATTTCCAATTTTTTTATTTGATTCCGACCGTGGGTCAAGCTTTCAATCTTTCTACGTTTGTTTTCAGACATTTAAATACTCTTTGAAAAAATGTGGATATTTTTGAAAATTTTTGTTTTTCCAATTTTGAAAAGATATCTGAAATGTTTACAAAATAAGTAGGTATTTTTTTCAAAAATATTGAGGTATTTTGTACGTGAAAATTTTTTCTTTGTTCAAAGACATTGGATTGGATTGGACCACAAAGATTGAGAGAGTTGATTGTTGGGAAATTTTGATTCTTTTCGTACATACTTTTTCGGAAATATTGGATAAAGTTATTTTTTCTGTGTTTAGAGATATTCGGCCAGACTTCTCTCTGGTGAAGGTCTTTCGCATGTTGGAAGAAGTTTCGGGTTGGCTGGAAAAGCTTGTGTTGGGGTCGTCGAGTTCCAAGATGCTTTTCAAGGAGACACCAACCGTCGTAAATGTATGGAAATTGTTCAAAATCCTTTTCTGGGAATTTATTTTAAAATTCTGAACGACAAATTTGAAGAGCAATTTTTTTAATACACGCTCCAGATTTTTAACCTTTTTTTGCCGAAGGTATCTCAAGTTTAGGAAAACTGGGTAAAAAAAACTCACAGAGGGGAAATTTGTCGTCCAGAATTGAAAAATAAGTTCCCCGAGGGGAAAGAAATTGTTAAAAATTTACTTTATTTGGTCATACCTGTTCGCTTTCATTCATTTGAGTGATTATGATGGAGTATGATGGAGTGATTATGATGGAATAGTGAATGAAAATGAATTTCCTGGGAGTTTAGTGAAAATGCTTGAAAGATTCCGTCATTTCCGATGAATGACTGTGAATGAAAGATTTCTCACTCATTTCATTTTTCACCCTAAGCTTAATACATGGACGAAGAAAGAAATGGAGTCCGATGAAGTCAAGTGAAATGAAATGAGTTTGAAATGTGAATGAAAATCTTCACTCAGAAATCAGGATGACTGAACTCGGGATGAATGAAAAAAGTTTTTTTGAACAGGTATGCTTTAATATTGTGTATTTCCCATTGTTTACACAGGTCGTCGATCAAGTGTCTAATTTCCGGCTCCCCTTCTTCCCAAAACTGGGGGAATTTTACTTCAATGCCGTCAACATTTATGGGATAGGGCTCGAAAGGCTGACCAAGAAGCATTTTCCATCCCTGAAGAAGTTATGGTTGCGGGAAGACCCCGAGTTTGACGGGAATGGGCGCCTCTACCAAACTTTTATGGATGTTGATACCCATTTAAGTCACGTGGAAACACTCGGGATGGCGAATTTCCTCATCGGTGCGAAATCACGCCTTGTCTTGGATAATTTCCCACCGATTGAACCCGCCTTCCCGAACCTGAAGTCGTTCTTCATCACTATTGACACCTGGTTGGGGGATGACGGGCCTACGGAGAGTGGGGGACTCGCGGAATTGTTGAAATTGTTGGTGGCCATGTTTGATAAGGTGGAGAATCTCGTGGTCCGCTTGGATTGGGTGAAGTCGATGCAGGAAGTTATGCATGCGACGGGTCTGCCCGAGTTGGATGGTTAGTTAGTAAATTAAATATGTTGAAATGGCAAAGCTGGTTTAAGTTTGCATTAGTTAAGGGAATTTTGTCAATGAAATGAAAGGTTTTATCAAGGATTTTAGTAAATTGGTTTTAGTTGATAATAATTGGTAGAAATTTCAATCCAAAATCTTGTAGCGGGTTAGTTAGTGGAGGTTTTTCCCTTTAAAAATTTGCCATTAAATTTGCCCTTAAATTTTAAACTATTTTCTGTACGTATGTGCGAAAAAGTTTGTACATCTCATCGCCAAAGGTGACGAAATCAGCACATTCTTAATGATTTCTCCCGTCTGGGAATTTATTTTAAAATTCTGGGAGAGGATTTTGACCATTTCGGCGACAAGTAGTAGTGGAGTTTTATGTATGTAAAATAAGAAGGTTTTCTCAGTATTAGTGTGTTCATTCAGTGGCCCCGGAAGCCGTGGTGACACGGGGACATGTCCCCACAGCTTCCGCGGCCACTGCGTAATTCAATCCGATTATTATTAGGTCTCAAGACGTTGAAACTTGTGGACTATAACGAGACGGTAACTCAGGATGATGGTAGTGACGACCCGCCGGAAGACGTAACGTTTCCCGTCATCGGACTCCTTATTTTGGAAAACTTTACATTTAAGGTAAGCAATTTTTTTTGAAATTTGATAAAATTATGAAATACAATTTTTGCTAAGTTATTGTCATCTTTGAAATTCCAGCTGCGTGGCGATAGTGGTCCGCGGATAACAAATTATGTGGCGAAGCATAAAGGAAACGTGATATTTACGAATAGTGCCTCGTCCCTGATGAGCAAGCGTCGGGATTTATATTAACTTTAATCTTCTGAATAATGATTAATTAGAAGATTCATTAATTAGGTTTTTTAGATTTATGTAACGTGAACGTAAAGTAGGACAGGATGAATGAGGAATTACCAAAATTTAGATTTATTTTGTAAACCTTTTGTACGTTAATGTAATCTTGAACATTTTTAATAATTTCACCACGCTGGGAATTAATTTAAAATTCTTAACCAAAAATTTGTAGTGAGTGAGTTGATTTTTTAAGGGAGTTTCGATTTTTCGGAAAGATTTTCTGAAGTTTAAATATGATTCGGCAAAGAGTGTCAAAATCTGGGGTGTATAATTTTAAAAATTTATGAAATCAAGACATTTTTACTCAGTTCTTCTCAGCTCTGGACAAATTTTTTGTAATTTTCGAGTTTGTAGAGCAATTTAGTTAGAAATTTATAAAAAAATGTGAACGAAACTTTAACAAAAAATTGTACGAATTGTGGGAAAATTGATGTTAAAATACTGTTTAACGTAATTTACTCTGGATTTGAAATAGTTGAAATCGTTATGAAAAGCTATGTATTTTGAAAAGAATCTAAAATATTTATATATTTTCTTAAAAATAATGGTTAAAATATTATATGTGGAATAACTAAAAGTATAGATGTAAGTAAGAATATTTATAACATTAGAAAATCCCAGCCTTGTGGAAATTTAAAGATCTCTGCGTTTTTTTAAAGTTTGTACGAATTTTTATTAAGCAACCTGTTAAGGCTAAATAAACCCTGTTTAAAATAATTAACTGTGTTTAACTAATTAGTATAACTGACTTTGCATAAATCTTAATTGTACATCTCAAAATTTCCTGGAAACTTGGCCACGTTCATAGCATTTTGCATTACAACAATACCAATTAATCATTCCGCGGAAAAAGTTGAAACCTTAGCCAATATTTTGTTTTCATGCAAAAATCGTGATTTTCTAGACCCCCCTCCCCTCCCCCCTTTAACATGTGTAACATAGGCACGATATCATTGGAGCTTTAGACCCCCCCTCCCCCCTCTCGCGTTACGTAATTTATGGACGGCCCCTCTTATAAACTAATGCTGTAGACAACATGTGTATTATCCGAACATTGTTTTTATAATACGACACATTTTCTCAGATAAAACTAGCTAAACACAAAACACCCAGAAAAATGACCTATATTTGGTAATGAGTTGATCTCGTCTCACTAAAAAACTCATCTCATCTCACAACTTTTGCCTGTCTCACGTGAGTTCTCATCTCATCTCAAACTCATCTTCACAATGAGACCGTCTCATTGAGACGGCAACCCTAATTGCGAATGAATCATACCTGTTCAATTTCATTCAGGTGACTGATTATGATAGTGAATGAAAATGAATTTCCTTTGATTTGAATGAAAATGAGTGAAAGATTCAGTCATTTCAGATGAGTGACTGTGAATGAAGGTTTTCATTTTTCATGCTTAATACATGGGACGAAGTAAGAAATGAAGTCAGATGAAGTGAAGTGAAATGAATTTGACTGAAAATGACTGAAAATCTTCAGTCTGAAATTGGGATGACTGACTTTTGAATGAAAACTGAATTTATGAACAGGTATAGGCATGAATATTTTGCATTTCAGGACACCCTGAGTCAGACTTTGATTCGTGGGAAATTAAAAATGCAAAACAAACTCGTGTCTTTCTATAGATTCCAACATTTATTTAAATTTTTAATTTTTTCCAAACTTAAAATTTCTACAAATTCTACAAAAATATGACGACAGTAGAAGTGGGGGAGGTCCAAGTCTTGGTCAATGGCACGCCGGAAGAACTCGTTTTCTCAAATTATTTAGTAGGTAGGTAGGTAGGTTTATTCAAGATTGATATAGCGCAAGCTCTTACAATCATCATCGTTCATTCATTTCATACAAAAGTTTGGTATACAACCTCCTCTTTGGCTTCCTCCGTGCACGACGTATCTCTCTCTCGCTCTGCATCTGTATCCTCTTCCATCTGGGTCGCGGGTGTGCCAGGGCAAGTAAAGTGTGTCCTAAGGGCTTTTCGCCACGTGAGCCTCGTCCACTCACACCCCCCACCTGCGTGCCTAGTGACACCCCCTGCCACACCCGTCCCAGCAACGACAAGCTGAGCCAACAGGCGAAGATGGATTCGCAGGACCCAGTGCACAGGAGGATCTACGCCTTGGAGGGGCTCCCCCAGGTAGGTTTTTGTTTGGCATATCGGGGTGGTGACCGTGGGGAGTGGTTGGTTGAAGAGTGGAGGAGGGGGTCGTGCATGTCGGAGGGCGGCATAGTCGGGTCTACGGGGGTCCCATGACCTGATTGTGTTGTGATGGGAGAAGGGGCAAGTGGGGGTGTCGTCGGCCCCGGCTTCCATGGGGGACGTGGGCAAGATCCCGCGGTCCGTGGACAGCCCCCGCCCAACAACCTTCAACCGTCTACTTCCGCATGCAGACGCCACCCTCATTTGAATATCACCACCACCCCACGGAATCCGCCTATGTATCCCTGCCATTCATTTTCCTACCTGGTGTCCAGCAGTAATGGGCCGAATGGTGTATTGGGCCAACTTCCCAATACATGTAGAGGTTTTCCGAGACCATCTCCGGTTTTTCCTCTACACCCATACTGCTACATACATATTATCATTAGATTTTATAAATTTATCATAGTGTGTGATTAGCCTGTATTGGGATGCCGTGTGCTACTTGTGGATTATGCCCACAACTGAGCACATACTTTGTTAATTCTTAGATTTAATCATTATGAAACTATGTATGTAATTTGAATGAACTTTTGTATGAAATGAATGAACGATGATGATTGTAAGAGCTTGCGCTATATCAATCTTGAATAAACCTACCTACCTACCTCAAATTATTTAGTACAAAAATGCAAAATTTCAATCCAATTTAAATATATCAAAGTTTTTGATTAAAAAATCGTCATTTTAATTGTTTATTAATTTTTTTCAAGTTGGTCCACCTGATTTTGGAAAATCTGTCGGTTCACGGTTTGAAGGCTTGCGCCCCTACGAACTCAATTTTCCACTCGGAGGCGACCCACCTTTTGGACAAAAGGTCAAAAATCTGTTTGGATTCGAACTCTTTCCAGGAATATTTCGAAACCTTGAAAAAAGGGGGGCGAATCCCGACCAGGGCCATGGTCGAAATGACGATCGGCACTCTAAGAACGTATGCAACACATCTGTTCACATTCATTCATATTACTGATTATGATAGAGTATGAAAATGAAATTACTGTGATTTGAATGAAAATTACTGAAGGATTCCTTCATTTCGGATTAATGACTGTGAATGAAAGGATTTCTCACTCATTTCATTTTTCACCCTATGCTTAATACATAGGGCGAAGTAGGAAATGAAGTCAGATGATGTGAAGTGCAATGAAATGAATTTGAACGAAAAAAATGATTGAATGTGAATGAAAATCCTCACTCAGAAATCGGGATGAGTGACCTTTGAATGAAAAAAGTTTTTTTGAACAGGTACGATGCAACTACCGGATTTATTGTTTCCCCTCCGAAACGTTTTGGTAACGTGGCCTTGGAAATAGTGCGGCGAATTGGGGGGGACAAGGTTCGATTTCTCAAGATGCACGTAGAAATGACAAAGTAAGCAAGCAATTAATTTAATAGATACGTTTTGAGGCAGTTCACTTCGTAACTTTGTAAAATCCGTGCGTTTTGTAAAATAGTTTGACAAACTTTTACCAAATAGAGAGACGCCATTGATCCGAGGAGTATATAAATTCACAAAAATAATAAGTTTCCTTAGAAATATTTGCAACATTTCGTAAAAGTTTCAGAATTTATGGATTTAACAATGTTACCAAGGATTGTATGAATTCCGTCGCTATTTTCTCCAAAATTTACCAATTTCGTTCCTGAATTTCTTTTAAAATATTGCAGGAATTTCTTCTCAAAATCACGTGAAATCTTGACTCTCGCCGTAAATTTGGTCGAATTAGGTATCGACTTCAAAAACTGGTGTGGTCTTGACGTCAACTTCGTCGCGGCGCTGCCCTCCATCCAGCTCCCAAGCTTGAAGAAACTTCGACTCTCGACGGACGAAGTGAACGAAGAGGGTGAAGAAGGAATCCGGATTCTTTTACGACGGATTTTTGCAATTTCTCAAAATCTGGAAAGTTTCGAAGGATCCGGCATCAACAACGGAGTGTGTCACATGATCGCGGAATTGTTTTTTGAAGAATTAGAAAAAATTCCGGGAAGACCGGAAATGATGAAGGAACTCCTCTTCACGCCGCATTATTTCCACGTGACCCCCGTATTTGAACGGATTCAGGGGAATTTGGGGGCTTTAAGGAGCCTAACGTTGAATATTGATGATATGAATAGCGCCGAGGGGGAAGGGATTCTGAAATACTTTAAGAAATCGTTAAGCAAGCTGGTGATCAATTTGGGGCGTATTTTTGATGAAGAGAATGACCATGGAAGAGTTCTTAATATTCCGGTGATGCCAAATTTGGTAGAGTTAGGTGAGTGGGTTTGGGTTGTTAAATTTTTAGGTTATGCGCACTCTAAAAAATAATTTTACCCTTTTGTTTGAAAGGAAGATTGAGGCTGAATTTTATACTTAATGCGATTGTGTAAAGCGTAACGCTCTAATTTCGTTGAAATTTTGAAATTATGTGGTCCACATCAATACAATCAATGTTTCGTGAGGGAGTTTGTAAGATGGTGACAATTTGGAAAAATATTTGAGGGCAAAGTTGAAAAATATGCAATTTTTAGCACGGGAAGATGAGTTTGCTACCTCCGCATGGGAAAAATCGCCCGTTTTTCAACTTTGACCTCAAATATTTTGGCAAATTCTGACCATTGCACAAGAAACGTTGGTTGTATTGACGGGGACCACGTAATTTCGAAATTTCAACCAAATCGGAGCGTTACGCTTGACACCGTCGCATTGTCCCACACATCACAAAAAATTCGCTAGCTAAGTATTTAGAAATTTGTCCCTGATGATTCCTAATTATTCTCTTAATCTTTTTAGAGCTCTACAAATCTTACGGGATTGGTGTGACTGTCATCGGCGTGGTTATCGAGGCTCCTTCTGATGGAGTAGTTTTCGGGAAATTGGGCTACCTCGAGATAAGCGTGGCCTTAATGAGGGACATGATTTTACTCGACGCCCACACAACTCCGGCCAGATTTCCGGTCTTGGCCCGGATTTGCTTCGATGAGAGGGAGGAGGAGCCGGGGGATGAAATGATGGATCGAGTTTGGAATCTTTTCCAGAAGCGAGAATTTCCAGGTTCTCGTAAAGTGCAAATTTATGTACTTGCGAATTGTTAATTGTTTCGTGTATTTCAATAATGTAAATGAAGAGTTAAACTTGTAAAAAAAATCGGGTAATTAATTTATTTTGCGTTGACTTAGCTACTTTAATTTGTAACTTTTCCTGATTTAAAGTAAAACTTGGAAAACTTGTGGAGCCTTAATTTTCATTTTAGCGACCAGTGACTACTAAAACTTGCTGAATTTTTCGAAAAATTTTCGCGATAAAAGGCTCTTTCTAAAGAGTTTCCGTGGTCTATCGTCATTTCTTCTAGTGCGTCAAATTTTTGTACAATTGGTCTCCCCAACTGTGCATATTTCGACCAGTTGCTTTGCATACTTTCACATTTTCAGCGACACTTTGCGCACTTTAGAGGTTACGGTAATTTTTCCAAATTAGAAATTATATGTTGAAATTCCACTATGAAAATGATAATAACTTGTTTAGTGAGACATTACAAAACTGGGCCGGCCGTTATATACATACATACATCTCAAGGAAAGATAATAATTTTGAAGACAATGTATATACGACAAAGGGGTTAAATTATTGTTACAAAGTTTATTTAACATTTAAATTTAACATTTACACATATGTAGTTGTGTGTGGCGTTGATACTCTTAACTTACATATTTGTTTCTTAATTTGTACATACATTAATTATATATGTGTAACTATGTACATAATTCATTCAGAGTTAGAATGTTGACAAAATGTTGTATTAATTTTAATGTCTAATTAGAACTATAATAATTCGAATGTAACTTTTATGCATACAAAGAATGGAAATGGTTGCCCTTGAAATTGAGTCTCAGAAAAAATAAAAAATGCCAAAAATCTTGACGAAGTATGGTTTAAAGTCGCCTTTTCCAACTTATCCCTGGCTACGCGCTGGAAACGACCCCTCCCGTGATACGGATTGGAGCACCACTACCTTCAAGTATTGGTTGTATTACTGCCAGAATTTCCGGCACCTGAATTTATGATTAAACTTAATTAATTAGTATGTAGGTGCATTTTTAAAATTTGTTCAAAAACTGACGTACCACACCCCAATAACCACCGGAGATTTGGACACTTTTAAATCCCGTACTGTGTACGATGAGATCTTTAATGGAGGGAAAAAAGTCATCCTTCATGACCCAGGTGGACGTGAACTCGATACTTTTGTCCCCTGAAATATAATATTATTAACACTTTGAATTGTCATTTTTCATGACATTCTAATGAACAGGGTTAAGAAACTATAAGAATAAATTGTTCTTTTAATTGCAGGCATATTTTCTTGCAGCAAGCAAGCTGGTTGATAATAAAGCGATATAAACAAGATTACAGTGAGGTGAAAATACATATGTATGCATGGCGAACAACTCTTTGCAAGGCAGTACAAGCATACCTGTTCAAAAATTTAATATTCATTCAAAAGTCAGTCATCCCGATTTCCGACTGAAGATTTGAAAGTCATTTTCATTCAAACTCGTTTCATTTCACTTCATCTGACTTGATTTGTTAGGTACGTCGCCCCAATAGGGTGAAAAATGAAAGGAGTGAAGTCATTCATTTGAAATGACGGAATCTTCCACTCATTTTCATTCAAATGACAGGAAATTCATTTTCATTCAGTATCATAATTAGTCATGAATGAAATTGAACAGGTATGTATGAGTACAAGAAAGATTAAATCCGCACCTTTCCAAGCTGCCATATTTTTCAGGACTGCCACTAACGTATCGGCTGTATGAACCCCTTCCCAGGAAACGAGGGCTTCTTCCAGGTCCCACTTTTGGTACGGGGGCATCATCTGGTTTATCCCAAGGACGGAATTGTTACACCCGAGGGAGGATATTAGCTCAAATTTCGTAACGGAGGGAAATAGTGCGACAATCTGTCGCCCGATCTCATTTGCATCGACCTCACCGAGTTGTAACTTGAGAGATTTAACTCCGCCATGTGGCTTCCACAGGTTTAAATGGGGTGACAAAGCCAACCCCTCTGACCGATTGGTGACGCTGAGAAATAGACTTTCCAGTCTTGGGAGGTGGTCCTCGTTAAAGAAGTCGGGAAATAAGTACGTTGCTGCCGGGTGGATGGTGACAGAGGTCATTTTCGACATCACGGGGACGTCCAACTCCTCCAGATTATGGCTCTGCGGCAAAGTATATATCGTACTTATTAAAAAAACCCGTAAAATATTATATAATTTTTACTTACGTGTAGCATGGCCGGTATTTCATCCCTAAATTCCATCTCGATTAGAGAATCCTTCACCTCCGCCAACATTTTGATGGCAGGGTTGAAGTCCAGAAGAAAGGAAGGGGCAGGCTTGACCAAGACGAATTTGAGAACTTTAAGGTTTTTTTTGCACCCCTCCAGATTAGGGTAGGAAGACGAGCGGACGTTTAAAGAGGTGAGGTTAGGTGCCGAGTCGATCAAGATTTGGAGGAGGGGCTGAAATCCGTAACTTGCCTGTTGAACGTGACCGTTAAGGTGGAAAGTGAGTGAGGTGAGGTTAGTTAGCAGGGGTAGCTTCTTATAGGCTGGGTAAACGCCTATCCCCCCCATCCAGAAGACGGATATGGAAATATGTTCCAAATTGGGGAGATCTCCGAGCTTCCTCATCCCGTTGACAAAGCTGGTGACGAATTTAATCTGCTCGATGTCAAAGTGGATTTGGCGAGTGGATTGGGACACGTGCTCGAAAACTTGAGTCATGACGGCAGCCTCCTTTTGGGGGGGATGGAGGGGTGAAATTTATCCGTGATGGTGACGTGCCGCATCAGATTTTGAGCCACGGGGGTCACTTCGTACAAGTTTGGGGCGACGTAGCGGAAAAATTGGGTGAGGTTGAGAAAGGTGCGGTTTCCGAGAAAACTGGTGCCCACCTCGGCCCACTCGCGACACACGAGGCGAGCCGATTTCAGCTCGGAGACGGTCAGCTGGGCAAATATGAGGTCACGAATCTGGTGGAAATTCAGAATTTCCTTAGGGAAAAAGGTTTTTAAATTTTTTTTAGGAATTTTTGTTTATAACTGACCAATGGATTGCTCAAAGCTTTTGAGATGGGGGTATTATCGTCTGACAAATTGTGGGGAGCTGCTGCCGTGCCTGGAATTAATTAAGTAGAAGCTTGGTTTTTAAATTAACATGAAATATTGGATACACGACGACATACTCAGATTGGGAAAAGTGGGGGTCGAAGAAGATGATGACTGCAACTGGAACTGCATCCTAGGTCTAAAATCAGAAATAAATATAATCTTAAAATCTAAATTCTTAATGACAAATAACTGCTTAATTTTAAATCGGATACAAAATCTGTATTATAAATTAAAGATATTTAATTCAGGACAATTAGTTAATTAACTGCTCACCACCGAAAATGTAAACTTGTACAATTAGAAATTTTAAATAACCAAGGAAGGAAGGAAGGAAAGAAAGCGAAAAATTTGCAAACCCGGCTGATTAAATATGTAAATTTCGTGTGCTGCCTGTTTGCGCGGTTTCTTTGTTGCCCGAGCGACAATTTTGCATGAAAATGTCTCCATTGACTTGACGTTATTTACACATTTAGCTTTTATAGGAATGTGCAAAAAAAATTGTTTAATATTTATAGCGTTTCGAATCATTGATTTCTTACTAGGTAAGCTATTAAGATAAGCTTTTATCGTCATAAAAATTTGAACCCTTAGGAATATGACTAATCAATATTGTTGTAAATATTTATTTTTTATTACTATTAGATGATACATAAGTCATGTATTTATTTAACTACTTCCTTACAAGTTTTGAGTAGGTATGTGTGTGTGTACACACAAATGCATACTTTTACAATAAAAGAGATGCATGTATGCATACCTGTTCAGTTTCATTCATTTGAGTGATTATGATGGTGAGTGATAGTGAATGAACATGAATTTCCTGTGATCTAAGTTAAAAATGAGTGAAGGATTCCGTCATTTCAGATGAATGATTGTGAATGAAATGATTTCTCGCTCATTTCAATTTTCACCCTATGCTTAATACATGGAGCGAAGTAAGAAATGAAATCAGATGAAGTGAAATGAAATGAATTTGAACGAAAATGACTGAATGTGAATGAATATCTTCCATCGGGGTGACTGAGGAGTTTTGAATGAAAACTAAATTTTTGGGCAGGTATGCATCCTGTATGTGTGTATTTACATAAGAATAAATAAGTTGTGTGGAAAAACATGAGATTAAAAACTTTGAAAGAATCATAAATATGGAGAATTATATAGACAAAAATCCTGTTTTACATGCACAGGTCCTGTTGTCATTGTAAATATGTATCGCAGGGTATCGTTTTTCCCGTCAAAAACGATTTTTTACCACGGCAGGTGGGAAAAAGTGGTAAAAACCGGGAAAAACGGTTTTTACCGTCCACAATTGGAAATATGGCTTCCCATGTATTTAGTTATGGGGAAAGCTAACTTCTTTAATAATCAATATTTCCGGAATTGGACTTCATATTCGTGATCTCCGCGAATTTCTGAAAATTTTGATATGTAATACGGGCACTTTTGATCAGTTTTAATTATTTTTCCAATTTTCCCATATGAATACATGTTAATTCTAAACATTACTCGAATTTAACCGTGTTACCAACTAATTTTCTCAGAATTTGATGGAGAATACGAATATGAAGTCAAATTTTGAAAATCTTCAGTTTTAAAGAAGTTGTTTCGGATTGCCCCAAAACCAGAGTTTTTCCCATTTCTTCCATTTTTCCCATTTCCCACCCATTTTGGGTGGGTCGTAAAAATGCCTTTTTCCCACTTTTTCCCGCTGCCCTGGCCAATTTGATTTCTACCAATCGAAACCCTGTATGTATGGGAATAGCTGGCTCTAATTTTTTGGAAACAATTTCTCAACAAATAAGGTATTCTCATTCATCGTTTAAACAGGGAATAATAAATAATGTTTTTTTCATTATAATGAATTTTGGTAAACAATTTTATTACTGCCACGGGAAAGTAAGTATGTATTTATTTACCAACCGTTCGGTAATAAACGAATGTGCATTTTTATTACCGCAGTTCTGGTAAAAAAATTATTTAGAAAATTTATTTTGAAGCTGAACTATTATTAAATTACTCTATTTTCAATTTTTTATTTACTATTATTTATCCGATTTAAAAAAAAGTAAAAACTGAAACAAATTTGATCAAAAGGGATGAAACCCCGGCAAAAAAAATGGTTTATTTTTTTTTAATTTTTCTTAAAAAACATGAGAAATTGGGGGTTTTTGTGGTAAAAATTTGTACAATTTAAAAAAATACAATAATAATTATTCCGTAAGGTTAATAATGAATTTAAAAATTTTGAAGTTCGCTGGAGCGGGTTACATTCGTGCCGGAAAGCTTTTATGAAACAGATTTGCCGCTCTGGATGATCCAGACTGGATCTATTCCCGCGGCGTAATTCGACCGCCCACGCGGGTGCCTCCATCCCCCGCGAGCGCCACTCGGCTTCCTAAAAAAAATTTAAAAAGTTTCCAATAATTTTTCCAATTTTCCAATAATTTTTCCAATTTTCCAATAATTTTTCCAATTTTCCAATAATTTTTCCAATTTTCCAATAATTTTTCCAATTTTCCAATAATTTTTCCAATTTTCCAATAATTTTTCCAATTTTCCAATAATTTTTCCAATTTTCCAATAATTTTTCCAACTTTCCACGAAATTTGTCTCCATTTCAAAAATGGAACGTTGTAAAATTACGATTATTTTTAATGTGATTTTTTTTATACCTTTCGTAACGCCGTGAATATTTAAATTTTAAAAATAAAGCTGAAGAAGGAGAATAAAAAGGTATGCTAAAAATCGTAAAATTGCAAATAAATTGTGTAAAACTATGTACTTAATTTGTGAAATTTGCATTTTGGAGGGACTAAAAAACGTTGTGTAACGTTTGCCTCAAATCCGCCTTCATGATCGTTTAGTAACGGAATTTTCCACCCGCACCATCTCCTAAAAGCATTCATACCTGTTCACTTTCATTCATTTGACTGATTATGATAGTGAATGAGACGAAATTCTGTCATGTGAATTAAAAATCCTGAAGGATTCCTTCATTTCAGACGAATGACTGTCAACTGTGAATGATAGGATTTCTCACTCATTTAAGTTTTCACCCTATGCTTAATACATGTAAGAAATGAAGTCAAATGAAGTGAAGTAAAGTGAAATGAATTTGAACAAAAATGAATGTGAATGAAAATCTGCACTCAGAAATCCTGCTTAATGCTGGGTTTTGAATGAAAACTAAATTTTTGAACAGGTATGAAAGCGTTACGTAATTTAAGAAAGAAGAATATCGAGTTTCACGACTCACCAGGAGTTTTAAATTCTCGGAAAGATTATTCATCCTTTTCGCCTCCATGGCGCGAAGTTCCTTCTCCCGCCGGATTTTTTCCGCGGACCTGAGATCCGTCCCCGCCGGGGGTGGGGGGAATGCGGCCGCGAGCAGGGCGCGTCGCCTAACCCGCGTCTCCTGCGAGACAAAGTGGACCATCGCTATGACCCGGCCAACGCAGGGCTCCTCGTCGTCGGCGCTTAATGGCGTGGCTGGATTTGGGCGCTGAGCAGGCAACAAGGAGGTGGAAGGAGATTGTTGGTCTGGAAATATGATGAAATTATTACGTGATTTTTGTAAAATTTTAGACTGTTTCGTTTCTCACAGGTTGGACTTAAAATTTGAAGAAAATTCATTATCGGACTGGATGGAAAGTGAGAAATGCAAGAAATATATACAAGGTGGGAGAAATATGTGTCATGTAGCCACCCGCGCGCTGTATGCATACCTGTTCAAAAATTTAATTTTCATTCAAAATTCAGTCATCCCGATTTCTGACTGAAGATTTTCAGTCATTTTCATTCAAACTCATTTCATTTCACTTCATTTCTAACTTCGGCCCATGTATTAATCATGGGGTGAAAAATGAATGGAGTGAGAAAGCCTTCATTCATCTGAAATGACGGAATCTTTCACTCATTTTCATTCAAATCACGGGGAATTCATTTTCATTCACTATCATTTTCTATCATAATTAGCCAAATGAATGAAAAAGAACAGGTATGAAGTATTAATAGCGGCGGAGTTTCTCGTGCCGCGCAGGTGAAAAATATTTCGCTGCAAGAAACCAATTTTTGCAGTTATTTTGTAAGAAGTGAGAAGTGCAAGAAACTACAAGAAGTGCAAATTGATGATTGCAAGAAATACCAATATACGCCATCCAGACACGCGAATAAGTTTTTATAATAGCGCCTTGAATTTATTCCTGGCAGGTCAAAATATCTACCACTTTCTTGCAATTGGTTACGTGAAAAATTGATTTGCATAAAAAAATTTCTGAAACAATTTTAACCTAATTTTCACCTGTTTGATGTAGGACGGATGGCGTGGTCAGATTTAGCCGTTGAGCAGGCGACCCGACGGAACGAGATGGTTGGGCTGAAAATATGAAAAAATTATTATTAAATGAGATCCAATGCAAGGTTGGTGAGTAATAAAACGTTGAAGTGAGCACGTGGTAAAATTTGATATTTTCATGAAAAATTCGTTACAAAATTTTAACTTGATATTTTTTCCCAATTTTTAAAAAGGTGACGGATTTTTAAAAAAAATTGTAAAGGGTGCGATGAAAATCTTTCGGGTTGTGAGAATAACGTTGGCGACGGATGTGGATGATTATCTAGACTCTATTAGTTTATGAATTTTTAGACTTGAGCACATCCATATTTCCAACCAAGCAAGGAATTGGCAGGGTTTCGGGTGGAAGTTTGACCACGTGGGAGAAATAAGGGGGAGAAAGTGATTTCTTGCAGGGGAATATTTGACCTGGGAGAAATGCACGAGGCAAGAAACGAAGCCCCGCCGCTGTAAATACTTCATACCGCACGTGGCTGGATGGCGCATATTTCTCCCATTTCTTGTGTTTCTTAATAAATAACTGCAAAAAATTGGTTTCTTCCAGCCAAATATTTTGCACCTGCAAGAAATGCGCGGAGCGAGAAACTCCACGACACCGCTATACATCTGTGGCTACGTGGCGCACATTTCTTGCAGTTTCTTGCACCTCACATTTCTTGCATTGCTTGTTTTCTTTCTACTGCAAGAAATGGAGCAAACTCATAAGAAAAGAGACTCTGACAAGAAATAACTGCAAGAAAGTGGTTTCGTGCAGGTAAATATTTTGCACCTGCAAGAAATGCGCGGCGCGAGAATCTACTTTCTGGTCGCTATGTCGTACTGCGCGTGGCATGAAGGCGCACAATATGCGCCTTCATATATTTCTTGCGCTTTCTTGCAGTTTCGTGCACCTCGCATTTCTTGCGTGGCTTCCTTTCCAATGCAAGAAATGTGTGTAGCAAACCTGAAAGAAGAAACGAAACCCTGGGCATTTGTCTGAAGTCTTTTAATGAATAATAAAAGTATTTAATTACGTCTCCCATCAAAGTACATGGTTTCCTTGAACGATAAAATTTACATCCTTAACGTGAGCAAGACATACATTGTTTCATTTCGAGCGAGATTTGTCATTCATGAAGTTTGATAAAGTGGCGTCAGCATTTTTTTAATTGCTACTCGGTAAGTAATAAACCAGACACGTTAAAATGTGAAGAGGAAGACACGCTTAAAAATCTGGACATGATTAAAGTGGCAGCGAAACAGGAATTAAATAAAGGGAAGGAAATGCGGAAGAGGCCGCGGAAGCTGTGGGGACATCTCTAATTTCTCTGCAAAATTGGGCCAAATTTCGGCAGAAAAGCTGTTCCAATTTTTACATCTTGGAAATGGCATGCCAAAATATGAAATAGCACGTGTAAACCAGTGGCCGCGGAAGCCGTGGGGACGTTAACATTGTAGGATGGCGGAGGGACGGGGATGCGGACATAGAATAATAATCGGGACAGAGGGACAATTCCACGATTCCACCGTCACTGCTGAAAGATAACTTCGTGACAAGCAGTGACGGCGGAAGCGGGGGGACATTGTCCCCTCAGAAATTCAACGTAAATGTGAATATGTAATAAAATAAAGAGTAATTTGTTTTGTGAGTTGTGAGTACGTCATTATTGGTTGCTAGGTTACCATCTCTAAGGAGGAGAGCTTCACCACCTGCCCCTCTCAGATCTTGATGTGCTTTGCATATGTGGTAGGGTCCTAGGGAGCGTCCATAAATCACGTGATCGATTTTTGGACAATTTTGACCCCCTCCCCCCCCTTGGTGACCGATGGTGATAAATTCATTACCCCCCCCCCCCACGGTCACGTGACAGGATACACATTAAACCAACTTTTCGCCAGGTGTGATTTTTTGTGGCGGATTTTTTTTTCGCAAAAAGTTTTTTCGCCAAACTGACCTATTTCCGACAGGAAAACACATGGCACAAATTAACCCAAAAATAATATTCCTGGGCCATTTCAAATCCGCAGTTAAATTAAATTTTAAAATTATTGAAAGAACTATGTAACACTAATCAGTAAGTATATTAAGTAATTTAACATTCATGACATCTTAAGGACAACTGTGTAAACTTATTATCTGAAAGAATAATTAGAGTTCTATGAATGTGCACTGAAATTTGGAAGAGTGGTATATATACGCAAACCAGACCTACGTAAGATTGTCAAGTAAAAATTTAAAAAGCCGGCGTATTCGGATTTAAGATAAAAGAGGTTAATGATGTAAGTAAATACATATTATCAAATTTACTATTTACATCCGAAGTTAAAAGAAAATTTTTTCGTGGCATGTCACGTGACTGCCGGCCATTACCCCCCCCCCCCTCCCCTTGGTGATAATAGGTGACAAATTTCAGACCCCTCCCCCCCTCTTGTCGATCACGTGATTTATGGACACTCCCCTATGAGTGTACTAAAACCCTGAAGTGGTTTGACTCCATGGCCACATTTGCACCCGCCACACCCACTCAAAGGCGCCAAAAACACGAAAAAAGCCCTGTTTTCACTTGTTCAAACCCTCGCCAAAAATCCAATTTTACTCGGATTTTGGTAAAATTTACATTTTTGTAATCCCAGATACTTGCTTGATCATATCCAGTAGCAATCTCTACTTTTTTGAAATTTTGAATTTTTTCAAATAATTCATCAGCCCGAAAATTCCCTAAAATTTCAAAAAAGTTGAGATTGCTACTGGATATGATCAAGCAAGTATCTGGGATTACAAAAATGTAAATTTTACCAAAATCCGAGCAAAATTGGATTTTTGGCGAGGGTTTGAACAAGTGAAAACAGGGCTTTTTTCGTGTTTTTGGCGCCTTTGAGTGGGTGTGGCGGGCGCAAATGTGGCCATGGAGTGAAACCACTTCAGGGTTATAGTACACTCATGGGACCCTACCACATATGCAAAGCACATCAAGATCTGAGAGGGGCAGGTGATGAAGCTCCCCTCCTAAGTAAGTATGCAAATAAAGTAAATATGTAAATAACCGTGCAAAAAATCTGCATTATTATTACTATTTTTCTAAAACTGACTTTATTTCTAGCATAAAACTTTATAAACATTTTGCAGTATGTAATAAAAAAAATTTTGAAATTGTACAAAATATTTACTGATTTCAGTTTGAGGATAAAACCTAATAAATATAGCCCGAAATTTTCAAAGTCAAAGTTGTCGACATAGTTCCAATATCTATGAAAATAAGGAAATAATAAATATTATTTCAAACCAGAATATGAAATTGTTTAAGTTCATAAATTATGTAGGGAAAAATCGGGATTATTAAGGCCAGTTTTACCTGCATTTCTTATGTAAAAATGTCTTTAATTTTAATTCCTCGACCATAGCACAGAACACAATGCCACCTTAACAGACAAAGAAAGGCTTGGAGAATGTTCTTCTCAAGACATTTGTATCGTCATGCTTGAGGGCAATTCACCTTCTCATCGCAGAAAGATGGCCTTACTATTTATCATAGTAACACGCTTTTTACGTAATCCTACATATGCACATTACAGATCTTGGAATGTAAAAACAGCAGTAACAACCACATTTTTACTGCAACAATAGTGAACTTTTATATTTCTAAATTACTAAATGATTCGATTTTATTTTAATTTAATTTATTCATACAATTGAAATAGTGTATCGCAGCAGAAGTTTAACAAGGTTACAGAAAATTTGTGAAAAAAACTGGATGTAGCAGTCTCACAAAATCAATTTCTAAAATCGTCAATAGCCAAAGCGAGAGAGAGAAAAGAAGGAAATAAATTCGAAAAAAATCGTAGATTTCTAAATATTTATCTACACATCGATATACACAACGGAACCCGGGGTTCTTACAATTAGTACGACGTAATAAAAGAAAGTATTACCAAAATTGGTGAAAATTTGAATGAAATAAAGTAAAAGCAGAATGGAGAAGACAACTTATTATGTCAAAAAGGTATTTTTTATCATTAATTATTGCAAATAAGTTAATACATACAGGGTGGTTTAAATGTTAGGTTACAATGGAAACTTTTTCGATTGTAGAAAAATTCATAAATTTCCATTAGTTTCAATAAGATTTTGAATTAAGATTTTTATAATTATTATCAAAACTGATGACGAAATTCTTAAAATGTTGAATTTCAGAGGCACAATTTCGTAAGTAAGTAATGAAAATTTACGAATTTTTCTCATCGAAAAATTTATCGTGACATTTTAACCACCCTGTATGTTAGCATATCTAGTTAATAAGTGGCCGCGGAAGCGGTGGGGACAATAGCGTTGTAGGAGGATATAGGGGAGAGAGGGATTCATATAACCCGGGGAGATGATTTATAGGGGAGATGATTTATGGGGACATCGAATAACTATCCACAAGCTTCCGCGGCCACTGTATTTAATTGTCTGATAACTAAAACTTGCAGGTTATTCAAGTCCCAGATGGAAATGGGAGACTTGTAGAACATGAAATTTTCATAAGTGTCCCCTATGAGGACGTAATTCGAGAAATTGGCGACTATGTGACACCCAGAATTCGGGGACAAAAAGTGGCACAAATATGCGCCGAAGACGACTCCGAAGAAAATTCTGAGGGTTCGATTCCCGGTGAAAATGGCGGGTTCCGGGGCGAAAATCGGGTAACTTTCCAAAGCCCTGGGTGCATGAGGGGATTTTCTGGAGAACACTTTGAGCCACGAAGAGAAATTTTTCCAATGTTCCCGAGAAATATTCGAAACTTTCTCTAAAATATGGGAAAATTCCCAGAAATATTCGAAACCAGGGCTGTTCAATTACAAATGGGAGTAATTAATTCCTAATTCTTAAGTACTCCGTTTGCGAAAATTGGAATTAAGTACTAATTACAAATACTTCTTTGTCCAGTAATTGAACTTAATTATCAATTACAATTACTTTGCAAGCATGTAATTGAATTCAATTACCAATTACTTATTAGTAATTGAAAGGCAATTACTTAATTACTAATTACTTAATACTCATACTTCAAATTAATTAAACGCTATTTAAAGGCTAACTTTCGACCAAAAAAATCATTTTCGAACAGGATAAAACTTTTATAAATATCTTGGTACAGTAAACAGTTCATTTATATGATCCAAAAGTTTAAAATTGCCGTGGATCTTTACTCCAGAGAGATAATGGCATTTTCTTTCCATAATTACAACATTAAAGTTGTTAATGCGTACATTTCTATCTATTGTATTTTACCTGACTCTGACTAACGAGATTGCTCAGGTAATTTTTGCAGCCCATGGAACATAGCCAGCTGAAACAATTGTAATATAAAATTGTAATTAGCTTGAAGTGCAAAAGCTGAATGGGAATGATGACCAAAGTGTTCACAACAAAAGATATGTAAATATTTACATAATTCGAGTTCTTCGGGAGAGGGAGACTTGTCGTATTTCATTCCAAGTATGTTCGATTAAGTAATTGATCAAGGTAATTGAGTATTCAATTACTAATTACTACTTGGCCAAGTAATTAAGTGCTTCCAATTTTAATTACTCCAGGTCCTTCAAGTACTTAAGTACTTAATTACTTTGACAAATACCGGAGTAATTGAAATCAATTATCAATTACCAATTACTTCAAGTTCGGTAATTAAGTAAGTAATTAAGTACAAAAGTAATTAAGTACCACAGCCCTGTTCGAAGCTTTCTCTAAAATATGGGAAAATTCCCAGAAATTTCCGAGTTTCTGAGCAAACTTTACGAATTTGTTGGTGAGAACACTCGTAAGAAACCCGAGACATGCCTCTGGAAGGGATTATTTCCGTTGGGGAACCTTTTTTGGCCCCAATTTACCCGAGTTTTATTTTTCCCCGATTCCCGGACAATTTCAGAAATCGAACCCACGGAAAATTCCCGTCCCTAGAACTTGAATCGGACAATGGTATCGCAAAAATCGCAGCAATTACGACCGGGGCTGGCGTAGCGGCGGGCGTGGTGGTCCGCACCGTGGCGACGGCAGCCCTGACCTCGGCGGGATTTACGAGCGCGGGAATTGCGGCGGGCTCAATGGCGGCGGGGATTCAGTCGGGAATCGGAAGCGTGGCGGCGGGGTCGTTATTCGCCTCCCTCCAGTCGACCGGGGCGCTTGGGGGGTTCGCGATTTTGGGGCCGGTGGGGTTTGCTTCCGCGGTCTTGGTGGCGGCCGGCGTTGGAACGGGGCTCGTGATACGGAAGGTGATGAAGGATAACGAATTGGCAAGAAGGAGACGTTGAAAAGAAAATTCAAATTATGAAAGTAATTAGTTGAAGCAGTTAATAAATCTTGGTTTAAAGAAAAAAAATTTATAATGAATTTTGTGATCGCGTTAAAAGTAAAATTATGAAATTAATTAAGTGAAAAAGTTGATAAATCTTGGTGTAAAGAAAAATTTTGGTTTAAAGACAAACTTTTCACGATGCATTTTGTATTTTGATATGACGTTAAAAGTAAAATTATGAAATTAATTGATAGAAAAAGTTAATAAATTTTGGTTTAAAGAGAATTTTTTCACGATGCATTTCGTGCTTTGATATGGCCTTACAGATCATATCATTTCGCAAATTGGAGCTGGTTTAAAGTTTAACATATGTACATACGTTGCTTATAAGATTTGTATCCATGAAAAAATGCTGTGCTTAATAAAAAATAAAATTCAATGTTTCTCTGACAAGAAAATTTTAAAGTCTGGACTTTTTATTCATTAACTTTGACAAACATGCCGGAACAATGTTTAGAACACGAAGGAATTTTGAATTAAATTTGCACAGAAAAAAAATAAATATAAAAGAGCTTGATATTGGACAGTAAGGAATAAATGATCGCAGGTTTAAATTGAATTTCACCCCGCTCCCAATGTAATCAAGTGGGCACGTGATTTTCGCGCGAAAATATCCTGCGATCATTTATTCCATAACGAGCAATAGGATTGCCAAGGAAAGATTATTTATATGTAAATTTTATACATTTATCGCTTCATGAAATATAGTGGGGAGGGACTTGGTAACAAATTGTTACCAATCCGGTAGGAATTTATGACCAAAAAATCAATACCATAGTTTACCGAGTTTAAATCTGACTCTATTTCTGGCAATTTGAGATAGTTTTTTGACGCGTTTAGAATCTGATAAAAAGCAAAAAAATTAATTGAAAAAATACACAATTCAAATTTTTAAGAAATCTAAGGATTGGGGAAGAACTCGTAAAATTAAAATATATATTTAGATTTAATCTAGTAAAAATCTTGAGAAAATTACTTTAAAAAATGCACACTTAAAGTTTTTAAGAAATTTAAGGAAACTTTTAAAAAATCGTGAAATTCGAAATCGCAGATATCAAATTTATTCCGAATTGGAACGCTTCTCGGTTTTCTCTTGCGTGGGCCCGTTTTCCTCTGGCCCGACGGTGGACGGCGGCCCCTGTTCCGACGACGACGTGGTGGCCTCTTGAACCGCGACGTTGCTGGTACTTGCGCTATTCTTGCGCGCAACGTAGTGCTCGTGCACCAACTTGGCCGCGTCCATCATTTTTCCTTCGCGATAAGCCTTCATCCACGCGGGCAATTCTTGGCCTCTAGCGCGTAGCTCGATTTCCTATAAAAAAAGTAATAAGCGAAAGGTTTGAAATCTTTAATTTTTCAGTTTTAAGGGTGCATTACATGCGGGTTTTGAAATAAAATTTTGGTGTCTCAACTTTCCCTTCTTGCATGTTTTCATATGCAAATTTTCAAATCCCAAATAAATTCAAAAATTTCAAATTGCAAATTTTTGAGCCAGCAGCTTGTTTCCGATTCATTCACGGCCGTTGAACAGTTTAGTCTCAAAATATAAAAGTTAAGACTTTTGAATTCATTTGAAATTTGTACTATTTCAGTTCAAATTTATCTCTGGGTGTGAGTGTGTAACAATGGTTGAAAATACCATGTGCCTCAAGTTCATGACTAACAATATAGGTCTCCCAAGATGCTCACAGATTTGTACTAGTGTCAATCAATAACAAATGGAATTAGTATGAAATTTGCAAATGGAACTATCTCCCAACGCGCAGGTTTAGCGAAGATATTTGCATAAAAAGGGGAAAAAACACACCCCCAAGGCTGGCAAATTTTACGCTTTCCGAATTTGCTGCGCATTTTTCCCACTTTGGATGCGAATATCTCCACCAAACCTGGGCATTGGGAGACAGTTCCATTTGCAAATTTCGCACTAATTATATTTGTGATCGATTGATGCTAGTTTGGTCCAAATCTGGGAGCATACGTTGGGAAATTTCCATTGTTAGTAGTTATTGTGCATTGAAGGTGATTTCTTTACACTGGATAACTCACCACGTTTCTAATATTTTGTAAACCTTTGTTCCTCGGCTTTTTGGCGTCTTCCAGAATTTTTGAGGTCACGACGACCTGGGTGTGACATTTGGGACAGGGAACTGACACACTGGCAGGGATGGGTAAAATATATCTTTTGTTAAAATTTACAGTAGTTTGAGCCGAGTTCTTCCCAGGGTTTGTATTTCCAGGGGGGTAGAACACCCACAAAAAGACGAAAATCTACGTGGAGAAGACGGTAGTTAGACGAAACTACAGGTTTAATGAAGAAATGAACTTTTTACGAGTGGAAAAATGCGTTATTTTTGAAAAATTTTGAAAAAACAAGAAAAAAGAGCGTTATTTCGCATCATAACTCTTTTAGCAAACTTGTGAAATCAAAATATTTATGTGCATGATGGGATTCGCAAAATATGACTTGGCAAATCTAACCAATCTCGCAAATCTATTAAAAATGCTTATTTCCATGGATTTTTGTAATTTCTCTTGCTGTTGGGGGGGGGGGGAGAGGGTGAGTTTATGAAATAATTTTGCGAAATAAGAACATGCCCAAATGCTGGGTAAATTTACGAAAAAAAATCGCATGGTTTTCCAGTAAAATTTTAACTGTAAATCTCGCAAAACTTTGCAATTTGCATGTTATGTTCAATTTGCGAGATATAGGAAGGTTGACGTGAATACGCTAAATGTGTTTTTGCAGCGATAAGAAGTTAATTTCTTCACAAAACCTGTATTTTCGACTAATTGAATTGTTGTCTTCTTGGTGTAGATTTTCGTCATTTTGTTGTAGGTCGCCGGACTACCGGAACCCCCGGAAATCCAAACCCTGGGAAGAACCGGGCTCAAAATTTCGACATATTAAAACATTTGATATATGAAATATGGGACCGTCCATAAATTACGTAACGCAAAAATAGCGATTTTCCAGACCCACGTTTAACATGTGTAACGATATCATTAGAGTAAGACCGCGTTACGTAATTTATGGATGGTCCCATATTTCATATATTAAATGTTTTAATAGGTCGAAATATTTTGGGCTCGTATAGTATTTTGCCCACCTCGGCGATGTCTCAGAATACGTGCCAAGTAGTCTTTGTTGTTGTCTTTTTGAGGAAATCGCCGTGCTCAGAATTTGCAGCGTCCTCATAACCTGGAACGGGCAGGGGTCCTCAATCGGCGGCGGCGGCAATTTAAAAGGCCACGTGGTCCCTGTGTCGGCGGAAGGACCTGGTTGGGCTGTAAATAGGGGTCATCCATATATATATTACGTCATCAAAAAAGGCATCTTTTTAGACCACCCATCCCATCTATGAATTACGGAAAATCGCCTCCCCCCAATCGCCTCCCAGTAATGGCCTCCGACCAATAGCCTCCTGAGGAAATAAGCCTCCCTTGCCAATGGCCTCCGACCAATAGCTTCCTGAGGAAATTAACCTCCCTTACCAATCGCCTCCCACCCAAAATCCTCCCATACTCATGTTTTTCTTAACACGGGTAAGATAAGGGGCCCAAACCCACCCACCTCTTAATCAGAGTTGAGTCAGGGATTAGGTTTTGAAAATACGATCCGATTTTTCGGGTTAAAAATAAAGCCCGTTTTGACACCCGATCCGTTTTCTTGATTTTCCGCAAAGCCGATCCGATCCGTTTTGTGGACACTAAAAAAAAGGCCGATCCGATTAAAACGGATCGGGCCAAGAATAACCCGAAAAAATGGGGACCCAACTCAACTCTGCCTCGATATAAACAAGTTTGAGGGTTCCCATATTTCAAAATTATTGTTAAATTAGAAAATATTTCGAATTATAAATTTTTACCGATTTCATCCTGCACCGGGGGCGTGGTCGGATTTGGCAATTGAGCAGGCGACGAGACGAGGGGAGATTGTTGAGCTGGAAATATTTGGATAAATGAGATGATATTTGGATGAATGAGTTTTTAATTTTTTTGAAAAGCTGGATATTATAATATCCAGCCTTGTGTATCCATGTGTCTGTCTGTCTGTTTGTCTGGCTATAAACTCCACAGATTCACACTTTTACATAAACGCTTGTGCGTCACAATTTTACTAACGCAGAAATTAAATGACAAATTAAAATACATAATAAAAAATACATACGTAAAATATGTAATGCACGTGATATCGAATTTATCGTTAACTACTTATCCCCTGACTCGGGCTTCATTGTCATTTATTGGAAAACAAATTAGAAAATAATTAAAAATTAATTCGTTGACCACGTTACGGCCGCGTGCCTAAGAGGAAACGAATTGATTCATCTTGAGGGCGGATGTCTATTTAAACATAAAATGCAAACATATTCACGAAAAATGTACAAAAAAACGAAATCAGAATCTTCACAAATTAATATTTTTTAAATTAATGCCTAGGTTTTTTTATGTCTAATTTCTTAATATGTATTTTTGAACAACATAATATTTATCTTTATGTTTGAAAAAATAGAAATTTGTTGAAATATTTTGAAATTTTTGTGATCTGTAAAAAAGTAGGAACACACGGAAAAAGTTTGACCGTCGGTCGTTGTATATGGAATGGAAGTCTTTACAAACAACATTTGGTTCGGCACTTGGGAAGATGCGCAAATTTCAGCACGTTATGGGCGCCGCAAGTTCGCAAAAACGCTTGATTTTTCAGCAACGTCCATCGCGAGCTCAACTTTTTTCCGTTTCTCTCGATCACTCTCTCACTCCCCCGGGAGGACATTGACCCTTCACCACTCGAATTTATCATCAATAAATAATGTCGAATTGTTATATTTTTAAATACAAAATTTTGGAATTATTTACACAATTTGTAATTTTATAGGATTTTCTCATTATGGTCGTGTTCCAAACAAGGGTTAAAAATATTTGACAACAGGAAAGACAGAAAAAGTGATATTGATGGTTTCCATTATGAAAAAAATCTTACAAAATTACGAAATTGTATGAATAATTCCAAAATTTGTAGTTACAAATATAACAATCCGGAATTATTGATGAAAAATTCGGATGATGAAGGGCTCCGGGGTCAATGTCCTCGCGTGGGAGTGAGAGAGCGAGCGAAAGAAACGGAAAAAAGTTGGGCTCGCGATGGACGTTGCTAAAAAATCAAGCGTTTTTGCGAACTTGTGGCGCCCATAACGTGCTGAATTTTGCGCATCTGCGCAAGTGCCAAACCAAATAAAGACTTGTTCTTTCAAACTAACATGGTCAAAAAATTATCTGCGCTGAACATGGTTTGCGCCTCCATTGTCAGTGTTTCCTAAGCAATTTTTTATCACTAACCCTCCGATTTAGTTTTAAAATTCTCGTAATTTTAAAATTATGTGGTCCAAGTAAATACAAGTAGCGTTTCTTGGGGCACTTTGCGATGGTTCGAATTTGACAAAATATTTTTACCAACCGGATTAAGCTAACCCCACTCCCATTCCCTTCTTAAGGGAGAAATCACCCATTTTTCATCTTTGACTTTAAATATTTTGACAAATTCCAACCATCGCCCAACTGAAAGGAAAACGGAAACTTCAAACTTCTTTATGGGAAAAAACTCAAGTTTTCTTGAGTTTTGAAGCCCATCTTATATTGGCTTTGCTCTTGCGGAGACAGGTTTTTGAAATTCTTATTTGGCTAGGTGTGACCCCCAAGGATATGTTGGAATTGCCCCGAAAAGATTTTTTCATGTTCCGCGTAAGTATATTGGTCTCCCGGCGGACAGGTTGACAAGGCCAAATTTTATATTTTGCACTTTCACGATCCTTAGATATGTATAGGGTATGATAAATTTTGTCCGGTGCATCCCATGTGAAATGAGGTGGTCACGAGCCTTTTTACGATCCGAGAAAATCATTTTTTCGCACGAGTGCACTCGAGTGGCAAACTAAATTTTCCACTTCCTCCAAATTTTGTGCTGTCATTTTTTAACGAAATGAGAAAATCAAGTTCTGTTTTCAGTTTTAGAAAGCTTATTAAATTTGCCATTTTTAATGCTTTCTACATATGAAAAATTAATTTTTAACTGGTCGAACCAATTGAGGGAAACTTGACACTTTTTTCAGCGACCAGTCCATAATTTCTGGTACTACAAACAAGTCGATGAAAAAAAAATTCGTTTCCCATTTTTCGCATTAAATTTCAAATTTCCCCAAAAATGAATTCCGCTTTAGAAATAGGATTTCAAAACATTGAGCAAGGCTTGAGACTAAACACTCCATGACGAAGATATGAGGCCTTCAAGCACTTTAGTTTCTTATGCATAAAGTGACGAGGGATAGTTGGACGTGCACTGCAGGACGTGCACGCCCGGCACTGCAGGTCGGCTTCGCCGAACTGCAAGTCCACCTTTACACTGCAGGTCGCCGAAGGCGTCTAAGTCCAATTTTTTCCGTATGCAGGTCTACGCTTGCCGTGCGGGTGGGTGGTGGGAAAGTATGATTCACTCTGATCTAATGTGACGAACACGGAGGAGAACCCGATGCACGCCCCCAAGCCGTCTTACATCAAGAATTTGAAAGCAACTTCGCCAAAACTCTATGAAAAATAATTTTCCAGAAATAAATTCTAAACTGAAATTATTCTTGACGAGTCCCCTGAAAGTAAACTAGACCCTTTACGAGATAAAAGTAATATGTACTTAATTGATGGTTATAGTTTATATAGATTTGACCGTACTTATAATTCAGGTGGAGGAACTCTATTTTATATCAAGTCGCACTACAATGTTGAGTTTCTGGATACACATTTTGCAATTCCGGAACATTCAGAATGTAACATATTGAAGTTGCAATTTGCTAATGCTAAGCCAATGTTAATTTGCTGTATGTACATACACCCAAATATTGCAAAGAAAAATGTTGTAGTGTTCTTTAGGAATGTCAACTCCTTTCTCTGTTCTCAAAATTTAGAATATTTTATAATTGGTGATTTGAATTTTGACTTACTTAAGAAATGTCCAGAGACCTTCCAGTTATTTTTTGCTTGTAAAAAGTTTGGTCTATGGCAATTAATTGACGGTCCAACTTTTAAAGGTCAGAGTTTATTAGATCATATGTATACTAACAGAAAAGTTAATATTATTCAAAATGGGTGGGGTGGGTCTGACCATGACTTAACATTTGTAGTCAGGAAGGTTTCTAGACAAAAAATGAAACCAATGCTTATTTCTTATCGGAATTACCAAAATGTTGATCCAATTCTTCTTTCTACAGATATTGCAAAATATAGATTTGACGTTAGTGCTTCCATTTCTGAACAAATGTTAGATTTTAATAATTGTGTACTAACTCAGTTGGATAAATATGCCCCAGTTAAGAAACGTTATGTTAAGCCAAAAATCAATAATTGGTATACTTCTGAGTTATCAAATTTAAGAAAACAAAGAGATAAGCTTCATAAACTAGCTCACACTACTAAATCTGATGGTGATTTCAAGAAATTTCGATGGATCAGAAATCGTTACAATACTAAACTTACGCAATCTAAGAAATATTATTATAATGTTAAATTTAAAGAGAGTGCTAAATGTACTGTTAGTTTATGGAATAATGTAAATAATTTAACAGGATTTAGAAAGAAACAATGTATATCCATACCGAAACTTGTGCTGCCGAATAATGTGGTTATTGATAGCCCAGAGAGGATTAATGAAAAATTGGCGGAGAAATTTATTGTGAGTCAGGTTTCAAAATTACCGGCAAATGATTTAGATTTAGAAATCAACAACTATTGTCGAAATTACAACAATGATGACTCAGTCCTTCAGACCGAAGCTCAGATTTGTGAAGTGAGTACTGAGGAAGTAGACAAAGTGATGTTTGAATCGAAAAAAGACACGAGAAGTGATATGTATGTACCACTGAAGATCTTGAAATTGTGTCAAGTAATTGTTGCTGCTCAGTTAGCTTTACTGTTTTCGCTGATATTTAAATCGTATTTCACTCCTCAAAGCTTTAGATCGGCTATAATTACCCCATTGTATAAAGGTAAAGGTAAAAAGACAGACCCGAATAACTACCGTCCTATTAGTTGTCTTACTGTATATTGTAAACTATTCGAAAGATTATTATTTAATAGAATACAACAAAGAATAGATGCTAAATTATGTAAACAACAGCACGGCTTTAGAAAAAATATGTCATGTAAAACGGCATTAATTGAATTTACCAATTATTTGTACAACTCTCTTGATAAACCGAATGGAAAGGTTATAGCTGTGTACTACGATGCTAGATCTGCATTTAATAGTGTTGACAGATCATTGCTTTTGAGGAAACTGATGTTACAGCTTAAACTTCACCCTGTTTACATTAAATTGCTAAATAACTATTTGAATAATCGTTGTATTTTAATGAAAGGTGATTCAAAATATTATGATAACCCTTCAGGCTTATCTCAGGGTGCAGCGATTTGTCCACTTCTTTATGCAGCATTTCAGGATGACATAAGTAAAATTATTAATATACCATTCTTGTTATATTGTGACGATCTAGTAATTTATATATATGGTACAGATGTCAGTGAAATGCTTAAAATTATTAAGGGACAGGCTGAAGTGATTGAGAAATGGTATGAGGATAATAGCATGACTATAAATTACAGTAAAACCAAATTCCAATCATTTCAAGCCCCAGGATAAGATCCCCAAAGAATTTGTTAATTTTAAACTGAATATAAATGGTAACAAGTGTCTACTTTTAAGTACTTAGGTATTATTATAGATTCCACCCTTAATTTTAAAGATCATTTGTGTAGTGTAACGAGTAGAGTGTCTGGTGCTTTAAAATATTTGTATGGTATAAAGAGGTATTTAACGGAAAATGTTGTGTCAATTCTGGTTAATTGTAATGTACATGCGATAATTGACTATTGCAGTGATATTTGGGCGGTTCAGACGCGTGCACAATTAGCACCACTTCAAGCAAAGGTTGACACTTTTTTAACACAATATTACTTACCGGTTATATGTAAGAAGGTCAGAAAGAGTAAGAAGAAATGCCGATTTAAGGTTAATATTGATATTAATGATCTAAGAATGAAATGTAATTTATTAACGTTGGAGGAGAGGAGGGATTTGTTTTTGTTAAAATATGCATTTGCTAATTTGTACAAGCATGATGAGACTCGTAGACAGGGACGAAGTTGGCCTCTTTTTCCAGTGTCTGCATGTAATACGACTTTCGCTAATAATAATATAAATTGTCGCAGCATAAAATTATGGAACTCCCTTCCAAGGGAATGGACCATAAAAGACCTTAAGTATAATGAGTTTGTTGAAAAATGCAAGGTTTTTTTGGTGAAGAGTAGAGATAATGAATTTATTTATTTTTGAGAAATATAGGTTTAGTTGATTAGTATAGACAGATGTTTATGCACATGTTGTGTTATAACTTGTAAACCAGTCTGAATGTGACTAACACTTGAATACAGGTAAATTGATTGAATTGACATTATTCTGATTGATTATTTTGGATTTGAGTACTTGAAGCAGAGATTTTCAAGCTGACGGCTTGGGCGTTAAATGGGTTTTGGAAAACTTTTCAACGGCGGGTGGAACAAAACCACTCCAAAAAAGTGTCAAAGGTGATAATGGCGTGGAAAAAGCGATCGCACCTCGTTAGGCAAACTAATGGGCTACTCATTGAAGCAATTGACAAAATTCACAGTGCAAAAATAAAGCTGTAGTAAACTAAACTAAAGTGAGTTCAAAAGGCTGAATCACGCTCTGTAATAACTAAAAATGTAATGCAAAATTAAAATTAAATATTGCCTTGGTAATGAGGCATTTCGGAACAATTAATTTTTATTTCAATAATGAGAAATATTTACAATTAGCTCCGAAATAGTTTATTTTATTAAAAATCGATAACTGGGTTTTGAGTGTGTATAAAATCCGGTTTTTGAACAGTTGTAAAATCGGAAAAACTAAAGATTTTGGATGCCCAAACTCTTACCGATTTCATCCTGAACTGAGGGAGGCGTGGTCGGATTTGGCAGTTGGGCCGGGGACGTTTTCCCCGATTCGGCAGAAGGACATCGTTTGGCTGGAAATATTTCGAATCATTATCAGAAATATTTTTAAGCCTGGAAATTTGTATTTTTGAAAAAACTGGCAGAAATGTTTTTTATGAATATTTTTTTGTACTAAAATATATGTAAAAATGTTTACAAAAGAATTTAAAGCTTAAAGTTTGGAATAGCTAGTGAGGGTTGCAAAAGAAATTAAAATATCAGTTTTTAGGCGTCTTATTAATATTTTTAGTTAAAAAATACGGTAGAAAGTGCGTGTAAAAAATATATAAAAAGTATTTACCCATTTTTGTGTAACCTTGGTAAATTTTGAAATTTTAAGAAAATATAGATTTATGTATCTCGAGCAAAGTTAATCCTTGGAGAGAGAATTAAATAAGTGACAAGTGACGAGTGGATGAAGTTATTTATGCATGCATGCATACATTTTGAGACATCAGCACATATCTTTTTTCCCAGTAAGGCATTCGTCTTTTCCAGGGTTTCGCCGTGGTTTTAACCAGTTTTGGACAAGAAATTTTGGACGGGCAAAATGTAAAAAAACTGGGCAAAATTCAAAATGGAGTGAAATGTTACAAGACGACTTTTTTTTACAAATATATGTATGCACAGATTTCTAATCTCGAAATAATTTTGAGAATTTTGCCCTGTAATGCAATCCGGCACGGTTGGGGAAATTTGTTAATTTCTTAAGAAAAGTAATAAAACTTGTTAAAAGGAAAGTTTTACCAAATTTCGTGGTATTAAAGACACCCTAAAATGGTCGAAATTAATGAGAAATGACATAGATTTGCAAAAAAAATCGTTAATAAAGAACTTGTAACATTTAGCCCCATTTTCAATCTTGTACATTTTGGACGCCCAAAATTGTGTTATATAGATAGTTTTGAACACCTTTTGTGGACATATATGTCCAAATATATGTTCGAAACACTGGTTGTTTGATGCATAAAATAAAAGTATCCAATTTCGTCTCCCATCAAAGCCCATGATTTCCATGGACGAGAAAATTTGCAACTTTAACAGGAGCAAGACATACATAGTTTCATTCGTAGTAAATTTGTCATGAACTTTGATAAAGCAGAGTAAGCATTTTTTTAATTACTACATACTCAGTAACCAGAAACGTTAAGATATGAAGAAGACACAATCTGGACACATTTAAGTAACGACATATCGTTTCCAGCAAATTAAATGCACCATAAGTTGAAGGAAAGAACCAGTGGCCGCGGAAGTTAAGGGACATCTAATTTCTGCACTACAATCATATGTACCTGTTCAAAAAATTTAGTTTTCATTCTAAACTCAGTCATCCCTCTTTCTGACTGAAGATTTTCATTCACATTCAGTCATTTTCTTCCAAATTCATTTCATTTCACTTCATCTGACTTCATTTCTTACTTCGTCCCATGTATTAAGCATAGGGTGAAAAATGAAATGAGTGAGAAATCTTTCATTCACAATCACTCATCTGAAATGACGGAATCCTTCAATCATTTTCACTCAAATCATAGGAAATTCATTTTCATTCACTATCACTCACCATCATAATCACTCAAATGAATGAAAGTGAACAGGTATGACTACAATTTGCTCTACATACGTAAAGGTTTTGGGCAGAAAATTGTGAAATACCTATACAGGGGGGAAAAAGAAAGTGTTTTCTTGCAGGGAAATATTTTTGAGCTGGGAGAAATGCAAGGCACTTATTTTTGCACTTTTTTGCACCTCGCATTTCTTGCTTCCCAGTGTAGCAAACCTGTGTCATGAGTTATTTATTACCGTTTTTTATACACGCTTTGTGTTGACTTGGTTCATGAGAAGAATTTCATGAAAGTACATACTTATCTCGAGCTGGGTGGATGGATGTGCATAAAACTGGAGCAGCTTCATGAGAGTCGAGACAGTGTCAGGTTTCATATCTCACTCACGAGGGAACCTTTTATAGTGCCCGGAGCTCCCAGCATATCCACTATATACATTAGACGCAGTTTTTAATACTAGTCCGACGATGTGACAAAATTTCCGTGTCAAAATGACATTTCCTCAAGTGGTGACGATTTTAGTGACGCGCGGAACGGTCACGGTCGCCATGCTTTTAGTAGTGCAGGTACACTTTCACCTCTTCTCTACACGCTCCCCGCTCATCTCACTGAAATCTCAACTCATTTGTTCACCCATGAGACTGGCATCTAATTTAACTATGTATGTATATTTATAATATCATTACAATTTATTCACCATTTACAAGTTTTCAATATTGTTTTTTTCCTTTCAAATAATTGAGTTTAAAAACTATTCGGAAAAAATATAGCAACTTCTTATGAATTTAAACAAGTAGAGGGATTTGTTCTTCAAAAAGTGCTCGTGATTTACGAGTCGTGAATATGTTGTAACTTTTAAATTCGAACGCAAAAATAATATTGATAAGCTATAAATAGTAAATTGTAATGATATTGTAATATATAGTTAAATTAAGTACTAGTGTGCTCAGTGAGTAAATTAGTTGGGAATTCAGTAGCAAGATGAGGAACGTGTGGCGAAAAGTAGATGCGCTATTGAAATCATGGGAGAAAGTGACCGGTCGGCGCGTCACTAAAATCGTCACCACTTGACCAAATGTCATTTTGACACGGAGATTTTGTCACATCATAGGACTAGTATTGAAAACTGCATCTAATGTATATAGTGGATATGCTGGGAGCTCCGGGCACTATAAGAGGTTCCCTCGTCAGACGTGACAAGTTTTTGCCATGTTTTGCATTTGTTAAGGAGTAATATGCAAAATCTGATGTAGTTAATTCACTAATTAATTAACCGAGGTCGGATATGTTTTTTTTTCATTTGATGCATGACGGTCAAACGTCACATTCAGTCATTTTTTCGTTGAAATTCATTTCATTTCACTTCATCTGACTTCATCTTTCTTACTCGCCCTATGTATTAATTAAGCATGCATGCATACGGTGAAAATGAAAGGACTGACAAATCTTTCATTCACCTGAAATGACTAAATCTTTCACTCATTTTCATTCGAATGAGGGGAAATTCATTTTCATTCACTATCATAATTAGTCAGATGAATGACTGTGAACAGGTATGTGGCGCCGAGGAGGAGGAGGAGGTCGCCCTCAAGCAGTTCATAAAGTTTAAAATGTTCAAATTTAGAATTATGTAACATTTTTTTAAAATTTAATCCCTTAGTTAAACTTTTATTGCATATTATGAGTATCTTGAATTTAACCAATTCCTGTAATTTCTAAATCAAAATATGCCTTAAGGATCGAAAATTTTGAAATGAATGAACTTATGAACAAATAAATCAACCAAGATTGATTAAACATTAAAAAAAAGAATCCGGTATTTATTAATTAAACTTTTACTGCTTGATGATGATCAATTAGATATTTTTATTAATTGAGGTTCTACTGAATTTAAAGTTGCATGGATGATGTGAAAATTAAGTAAAATTTCATTAGACCTGGATAAACTATGTATAATACGTAAAAATAGGAAATTTTTAGACAACATTTTAAAACAATGGATCACATATCATTGGAACCCTTTCCCCCCTCTCATTTTCATCCGCTGCCTCATGTTCTGCAGCATCATTCGTGAAATTACAGCAATCCCCAACCTTTCGAAGAGATCCAATCCTAAAAAATTGGACATTTCAGTCGCCGTCATTCTCTTATCGAGGACGTCGTTGTCCAAAATGTAATTGATTGCCTTCTCCTCCAAGGCCTGAAAGGATGATAATACTGAATTAGACTTATCATACAGAGGTAAGTTATCGGTCCTTGATAAGGTAAGGTGACGTGGAAATCATACCAATGCATTGACGGAGGGGGCGTTTTGGGCCAGGTACACCGCGTTTTCCGGGCTTATCTTCCGGATAAGGATGGCCTCACATTCCTTTTTAATGGCGTCGTGGTCGGCGAGCCGCATTGTGTCGAGGAAGACTTTGACCCCGTTTGGGGGCCGGGTTGTGGTCCCCTTATTTTGGGCAGGTTGAGGTGACGACTTGGAGTTGGAGGACGCCATGGGTCTGCAAGTAAATAATTAAAGTTTAACGTAATTACCGTAAAAACTCAAATAGTAGCCCTTGCTCAAATAGTAGCCGTGCCTTTTTCCATAATTTTATAAATAGTGACCTTGCTCAAATAGTAGCCGTGCCTAAATAATAGCCGTGCTCAAATAGTAGCCTCATTCGAATCATAGACGTTCGTCAATTTCCAATGTACATACATATAACCAGACATCTCCTAGCCAGCTAATTTAAGTAATTAAATCATAATTCAATTTAATCTCAGTTATACAAAATCGAATTGAACATGAAATTCGGCTCATCCGAGAAATTATTAAGATTAAGAGCAGGCATAACCTATAAAATTGTCATCTAATACGAATCTAAAGGAGAATTTGTTGCTGTTATTAAAATTTAATTCGAGTTTGATTCTGGAAACAAAATTACAATAGCTGTATGCTAATAGTAGCCGTGCATCTTTTCATAATTTTATAAATAGTGACCTTGCCCAAATAGTAGCCTTGCTCAAATAGTAGCCGGGTCCCAGCCACCGATTTTTTAAATAGTAGCCCCCGGCTACTATTTGAGTTTTTACGGTATTTAGTTAATTATTAAATATTATTTATTTGTTAGTGTTTATCATGAATAAATTAAGTGGGAGGAGTTAGAGGCGAAAATCTGCACGGAGGAGAAGGTGGAAGTTGTTTGTACGAAAATGCAGGTTTTCTAACAAGGAAAGTGAGAAATACTGCATTTTTTTAACAATCGTGAAAACAATTTAGTTTGGCAAAGATAGAAAGTTGAGTTCTGAAGAAATCATGTGTTTTTGTGTGGCTGTTGGGTTTTCGGGGTAGATTTTCGTTTTTTTTGTGGGTGTGACAGCATAGGAAATTTAAATTTCAGTGGGAAGAATGGATATTAAAATATTGTATTTATTTTGACAGGTTTTTGGAAGAAATTCACTTTTTTAGAGGTGAAAAATATGTTAAAAGGCAATTCAGGCGGGTAAAACATTGAAAAATTAGTGAATTGTGTAGACTTACAAATTCTTACTTATAGTTTATTCAGATCAAGGATGTCTTCTTATTTTGTTAAACTTTGTAAAATGATGGGATAAAAGGCAGTTTTTTTTACGAGTTTTTAATGAACTGGGGCACTGTATTTTTGAAAAATTGTGAAAACAATGTGTTTTTCCACACAAAAAAGTTGTTTTCTTCACAAAACCTGTATTTTTGACTGACTTTGACTCTGTTCGACGTGGATTTTGACCTTTTGTGGGTGTAACGCCGCCTTGAAAATGAAAAAACCCAGGGTGGGATGAAGAAACGAGCTCAAATTTTGA